CAGAGCTGGATGGAAAACAAGACAATTTTTTTGTACATACTTTCATTTCCATTTTGTGTGGATTTTTTTCCTTGTTGTTTTATCAACTGCCATTACTTAGAAGAGCTGATGGGAATAACCCTGCACAAACAAAGGGGTTTGAAGACAGTTCCATTAAATATTACTATCCCCTACATAAGCTGTTCCTGGCAAACGTGCACTATTTGACAGCTTATCCATTATCACTGAATGCACTGCTATACATTTCAGAATTAAAGATGAATAAAACAGATGCTCTGAGTTGATTCCATTTATAAACATCTAACAGCAATACAGTCCTCTAGCTTTCTAAATTGTAATAACATTGAAGTCATTATAATTGATATAATACAATAATATTAAAATTATGATAAAATTAACTCTAGTGCACTTAAGGCATTTCTAAAACAACATAGCTGGTTAAAACACTAGTGCTGAAAGATACAAAGCGAAATTATTTGAAATCATAGGATTAACTAGTGCCGTTCCCCTCTACACCCAAAGGGCTTGTCAGATCATGTGGAACAACTATCTGATGAGAAAGACAGCATGTCTCAGTTTATCATGTTTTATTTTGCCTCAGACCTTATCCACTAAAGTGAAATTGTTTGAAGTTAGGTGTCTAAATCAGGGGTGTCAAACACGGCTTGCAGAGCCCCATAATCCTGCCCCCAGTGCTGCTTCTTATGCTGTACTGGACCATGCGTGTGTGCAGTGCCTGGAATGTGCGCTGCCTGCAGCACTTGCTCAGGACATGTCCTGGGCTGCACCACCCACAGTCCTGACTCAGGTGGGTCCAGGGCCATGCCACCGGGTGCTGCCTGTGCTGGATCAGACATGCAGGAGTGGGAGGGGACCATGGGACTGATCTGGTCAGTGGACCTTCCCCACACCACTCATATGACCCTTAGAGCCAGATAAATCTGACACCCCTGATCTAAATCAAGGCACCTAAATCAATAACCTGACTAAGCACATCCCAAAGCTGCAACACTACTAACTTCAGGTACTGATGAATCTGTTCCCTGTACTGCGCTAATAACTACTTAGATGCACTTCTAAAGCTCTGATCAGCTATTTCCCTAAATTTATTGTGTCAAGTGTCAAAAGAAGTAAAATTTCCATTTCCAGCCCTGTTTCAAATACAAATAAATTTTGTTTACATTAATTCAATTGAACCCTAAAAATGTACCTTAATGTCTATGAGGATTGCTACATTTAATTTTAAATGCAAGACATCACTCAGATGCTATGCTGGAGACCAAATATAATTAAGCTTTGGCTGAGAAGCTCATTGCTATATTGCAACAGCAGGAAGATAACTTAAAAGGATCATCAAAAGCAAAGTAGTTTTCCATGGACTAACAAGCTATATTAAAAAAAAACCCGCTGAGGGTTGGTGTTATTTTTGTTGACTTTGTTTAGTGTCTATACTTCTCTTTTGCCCCTCTACTTCTCAGTTGGCTTAGTTATGCATTTAATAGGTGGCTAAACCTATTGAACCTCAAACTGTGTTCTACTAACATACCCTATCGAATTTTTAATTTGGTCTCTGTCTGTACAGGACAGGTCTGTGCTTGTTCATGTTACCTGGGAAGTGAAGGAAACTCCTTTCCAACTAGGGCTCAGTTCTGAATCAGAATTCTAGCTACTCTCGCCTGCAGAAGACCAACATCAGACTGTCCTAGACAGCAATTACAGCTGCAGCTTGAAACATTACAAGAAGTCATCTACAAGAGCACCTTTCCTGTATTCTCCTTGTTCCTTTCATGTGTGTTTGTCTGTATTCGTGGAGACACTGACTTAAAAAAATCAACCATTCAGTTACAACTCCGTGAATATTTCCCCTGGGTAAAGAAAAGGCTTCAGAAAACAATGTAACTTAGTATTTTCCTGCACAACTTATTTACCAGAACTGAAAGCTTACATGATCTACTGTGGACATCAAGAAATTAAGTCTTGAGCCATGAAAAAGAATCCCACTTTCAGAACTAGTTATGGGGTGCAGAAATTAACATCCGAATAACCCACAATCCACGTACCTCTCCTGACAGAGATTTCCACTGCTTCAACTGATTATTCATAATAGATTTAGAAACATTTACTAGTGCATTTTGCGCAAATGTTTTTGAGTTATGGAAATACTCTTAAAATGAACTACATAGTGAGGGACAAACATCTGAGCCCCAAATTACCAAAATACCTCCCATCTGAAGATATTCAATTCTCAAGTCAATGAATAAGTCAGCCAAGACAAATGATGGAGCAAAGGCCAACTTGAATTTTTAATCATCCTGTGGCTGCAGTGAAAGACTAAGATATACGGGGAAAACGAAGTCTCATATTAACCCTTTAATTCTAATTTACCACTCCTGTGGCATGCTGCAAATCAGACATCATACACCTAGCCAGCAACAAGGTGGTTAATCTTTTAGACCTTGAAGAACAATTCTCTACTTCTGTGTAGTGTTTCCTTTTTTGTCCCTTAGCAGGCCATTAGATCTCTACTTCCAACATACAGTCTTGTTCAATTGTCTGTCAGGTAGCAGAGAAGACTACTAGGAGGGGAGTTTTGTGCACATGGCTGTGTGATTGTGTGTGTGTTTTTTGTTTATTTTCAGTGTGCATAGCTACCTACAACAGGGAGGCTCAACCTCCAGCCTGTAGGCCAGATCCAGCCCCCAGCCCCATGTCATCCAGCTCACAGGGCTCATCACAAAACCTGTGGAGAGTCCTGTGGGCCATAGTCATGCACACTGGATCAGGTACACAGGGCAGCATGGGGCCTGATCCTAGAGCATGATGGGGAAGGGGTGGGCAGGGGTAGTGCAGGGTCCCAAAGTCTGACCTCAGCCAGGCAGGGCTAGCGGGGGCCCTGGGGCCTTATAGTGACTGGATGGAGACAGCATGGGGCCCCCAGAGCCCAGTCCCAGCCAGGCATTGGGTCTCAGGATCGGACCCCAAGGCCCTGGACTGCCTCTGCCCAGGGCCTAATCCCAGCATATAGGGCCTGATCCAGGCCACAGACCAGCCCCATGACATTCATTTGGCTTGTGGGGCCAAAAGTGTGAGCACCACTGATCTAGAATGCACCGTCTCCAATTTGTTCTGTATATCAGCTCAGAGCAGTTCTTTAAACTGCCCAGCAGGTGGTACATTTAGACTAATATAAACACTCGAAAGCTTCAAGATTATTGCAAAATCATTTATATTTCTCTGAAAACATACGGTGCAATTTCCATAACAGAGAAAAGACATAATTCCTGCTCAAAGAATTTATAATCTACATCACATAAAACATTTTCTGCACAGGATATTGTACAACTTAGAAGCACTTAGTCCACTTTCAAACTCCTACTGAACTCCCCCTTCAATTCAGACCTGTTCTGGCTAAAGTATTTCCAGCATTCTCAACCATCAAATGAGACAGCCAGTTTGCAATTCCAAACACACATTCTGACAACTGACCACTCCCAGCTGAGCAATGGCAAAAGCATGGAAGCCCGCAGCAGGCAACAACACCGGAGTTTTATCTTCGCCAGCACTTTTCTCATCAATGGTCTGGGCCTTGGTGTAGCACCCTAGCAGAAATGCCAATGTAGACTCAGCAGTGGTGTTTCTATTATTGTGTTGTGATAGCACAGGAGATGTAGGGGCAGGATTTGCAAGTAGAATAAAAAAAGCTGTGACAGGAGGAAAGGGGGCATCCCTGCCAGGGATGGGTAGGGGAAGGGTAGCAAGAAAGATAC